TGCACAGATTATCTTCACCCAGTTTGAGGTACTTTGTTTATGGCAACCCTCATTAACTAAGTCAGACAGATCTGGCAAGGTGTGCAGAGAGGATGAGGCAGGAAAGAGAAACACGGAGGTCAGTAAGGGGTCCTCCATAATACCTATAGTCAGGCAGTGGAATTGTTGCTACTGAGGAAGGAAGACTAACTCTTGGGGTTTCATTAAATGTGAGAAGTTGGGGAAAAAAGAGGAATTACATCAGATAACAGGATTCCAGTCCTAGGCAACTTGAAAAATAGTGATACCACTAACCAGAAAACATAAATTGAGAGGTTTTAAGGATGATTTCATCTTAGTGAAATAGTGTTCTTTGTCATTATGCAATTAGCACATTCCTAAAGACATTTGCATTAATAAGAAATGTTTTTAAATGTTGGCAAAAGAAAAAGTTAGTTTAGGGGCTAGAGCTTCAGGCCCATATGACAGTCATTTTCATAGAGGCATTTCAATAGTTAACATGTGTGAGGAATAGTAACACACAGACACAAAATCTACATACCACAAAATAAATCCTGCCCTTGACCACATTCAATTCTTTTTTTATGACTTTATTAGCATATAATATTTGTACAGGGGGATACACTGTGGTATTTACATATGTGTTTAAAATGTATCTTAGTTGGATTTACCACCTCCGTCATTCTCCCTCTTCCTCCCTCCCCACCTTCTTAGAACAATTTCAACAGGTTTCATTTTTCTATTTTCATGTATGGATAAAAAACACATCCACCATATTCACCCTCATTCCCCCTTTCCTTGTGCCCTCTCCCTCCCACTGGTATTGTCCCCTAGAAAAGATTTATTTTCCCTTCTGCCCTTCCTTTTTTTCATTAAATGTATGTTGATAGTCAAGAGGGGTTTGCCTTGGTACCTCAGGTCTGTATATATGTGCTTTTATCAAACTAACCCCTTCCTCTCCATACTTATTCATTCTCTATCACCATGCTCCCCTAATATTCAACAGCTTACTGTGCAGTGCATTATATATATTCATATACAGATGGGTATTCCAATATTTTTAATTCTCTAACATTTTATTTCCCTCTCCCACCTCCTGTAGCCCCCCCGAGACAGACTCACTAATACAATTTTGTTATCTCTATCACTATATATATAACTATATGACCATATATGTTTCTATATATATATTTAACTTAAGGTATAGCTTCCATATATGAGAGAAAATATGCAACCTTTGATTTTTGAATTTGGCTTACTTTGCTTAACACGAAGTTCTCCAGTTCCATTCATTTACCTGCAACAATATAATTTCATTCTTCTTTATGGCTGAATAAAACTCCATTGTGTATATATTCCACATTTTCTCAATCCATTCATCATTTGTGCAGTATCTGGGCTGCTTCTGAAGTTTGGCTATTGTAAATAGTGCTGCAATAAATATGGGTGTACAAGTGCCTCCATCATATCCTGGAGTACCTTCTTTCAGATATATGACTAGGAGGACCACATCCAACTCTTGATTGAGAGCAATCATCTGTCTTTTATATACATTTACCTGCTCTATGATTAACATAATTCTTACATATCTCATCACCTTTATCATTTGCTTTTATAACAAAGCACAAAAATACCTCCACAAAGCAATTGTGTTTGCTTTTAATAGATTTTTACCTGTGCTAATGGGTTCTGACTTCCAATCATAATTGTTTTATAAATGTGAAATATACAATACAAATCATGTCTAACTGATTGGATCGAGTATATTAAAACCAACTTGCATTTTCAAAATTCCTTTGAATGTTATTCTTGGATATAACTCTGGAAATGTCCATCAGTCAGCGAACTATAAGAAGACACATTTTATGAGATAGATTAAAGCTAGAAATTCTAACAAGTAAAGAGTAAAACCATAGAAATAAATGAACATTCTTCCATGAAAGTGTTTACAAGTTTTTAAGCATAGGTAGTGGTTTCCTGAAAATCTGAAGAGAATAAACAGGTCTTTACCAAGGCTAAGGTCAACAAACAAAAGCCAACCTTCAGAGCACACTGAACTTGGAACTATATCCCAACGTGTCAACTGCCATTTGTCTGACTCTCAATACATTCCTCTGAGTCACCAAGCTTTATATCTCTCAGATTTAAAAACAAATATTCTAGAGGTAGGTCGTATCTTCAGTTTTTTTTAATCACAGTTCTATAACAAGCAAGTATCATACAAGAAAAACAGTGTAGTATCCACAATCTCCTAAGGACTTTTGTGGCACAGCACCTTGGTAAGCATTTAGGTACAAAAATAATGAAAAGCAAAGCATTGAGAGTAAAAGATCAAGCCTGAAGGTGCACATAGAGAAGACAGTGAAGCCCTAGAGAATTTTTTCTACAAAACTCAAGTGTGAGCTCCGTAAGAACAGGAATCATAGTGGCTTTGGTTATCACCACACAGCTAGCATTAGAGGCACCATAATATTTGTTGGGGCAGGGAGGAAGAAAGACAAGGGAAAGAGAGGAATAGGGAGGATGGGAAGAAGAAATTTGGTTTCAAACTGGGGGAAATAATGTCCTGGAAACAATGGCCATGAGACCTAAGATTGGGATGATAAAAGGTGGCATGATATAGCAAATGACCTAAATACTACTGAATTGTACACTAAAAATAGTTAAAATGTCAACTTTCATGCTATGCCTATTTTACCAAGTAAAAAATTTAATCAAATATTTTATCACTGAATTATAAATGTCCTCTCTCTCAAACTTTCAATAATGTCTGTTAGACACACAAGTACCTTATCTAAGTGGCTTTAGTGAAAATTAAGACAAGGAAGCAGAAGTAAATGTCTGAATCACAGCAGTCAGAATGGAAACAGACTATAAAATAGGAAGAAGAACCATAAAATGGTCTAATTCTCATAAAGTAGAAGCTCAGAATCAAAGAGAAGAAAAATGAAAGATACTGTTCCCCAACCTTTCCACTATCAATTCTCCAGAGGTGTTGGGAACAGCCAAGACTTTAACCAAACAGGGAAAGGAGATAGAGCTCATTTCATTTCAGTACCAAGTGGCAGAACACCTCCGTTGAGACCTGGATTACACACACAGTATTTCAGCTCATTCATAGATGAGCTACATAAGGGTTAGGGAAGTAACCAAGCCTCAACTAAGTGTAAGAACCAGCAACACTGTCATATTTCTTCCCCACACATACAGGATGTTGCATACAAATTGCATTTCTAGGCTCTAGGCTAACAAGAGAAAGAAATCAACACAGCCCTGTCTTTAAAGGACTATTCTCCAAGACAAGCTTTGAAACTTCACAATTTTTTATGTAATAAGATAAAGAACAGAAAGACCTGTCAAAGTTTAAGCACAAATAGAATAACAAATAATAGTAATAATTCCCCAAACAGAAATGAAGGCAGAGAAATAGCTTGTCAAGATTACTATAGCATCTTTGAATGTTTACACTACAGTAAACAACCCAAGCAAAAGTTTATTCCTATTAGACTACAATACTTATGTCACTATATATTAATTATTAATTTTATTTATTAGAGCTGATTAACCATTTAAATCAAAAGGAGAAGGCATCTATATCCTCATGTTTTTATTGAAAACAGAAAGCCAAAGAATAAAAAAACAAAAAAATTTTTTAAAAAGATTCAGCCTCCAAAGAACTTTGGACATTCCAAGTCATATGTGAAGTGAAATAATAAATGAGTTATGTAAACCAGAGCTTTGAAAAGGCTAGAGTTCCCCTAGTGATTTGTTTTTTTAAATAAACCAGAGCATTTTGGAAATTCAAAGTATTTTTTTTTCAAAAAGGGAACCTGGAACAAACCTATAGCAAAAACCATTTCTCACGTTAGTGAGAAATTAATGTGAGTCATATAAAACATTTCTTTGATACAGGGATCCTTAAAGTAGAGGCAGCAAAGGGAGAAATTGAAAATACTGTATCTATTCAGAAATCTTCTGTACATTTTGCCTCTGAACAAACATCAGTGAAATGAGAAAACTATTTTGCACTGACAAGAGACCAATGACCACATTCTCCACAAGACACTAAAGACTCCCTACTATCTGCTCCTGGCATGTGCACCTCATATGTCTTTATTTTCTATAAAATTCTTCTGCTTCTGTTTCTCCTTGAGCAATTCTAAAGAGAAAATATAGAGATATGTTTTTGGACATAACAGATAAGAACAAAGTTCTCATTTTGGTATCCAGTTCTCACTTTCTAATAAAGGGCAAAAGGAGTTAGCATCTCCACACTCCACTCATTCATATGGTTTGGTTAATCAGCACATGGATCCCAAGGAAAACCAAGCAAGAAGTCAGGCTCTGAGCATTCAAATAAACCAATGCTTCTGAGATTCTTTCTAAGTCCCTCCTGCCAAGATTTACTAAACTACAGACGTGTCATTGACTAAGCGCATGTCTGGGGTCTACTGATTGGCTCAAGTGAGCAAGGACAGGTTAAGTCTGGCGCTACCCCTTGGATGCAATGAATCTTGGGGCCTGAAAATTGACTGCCCTTCTTTACGCCTTCTCCCATCATCCCAACTCATCATGAAGCAATCTTTCAAAGGCTTCTACTCTGGTCTGATTAAGTAAAGCCTCTGAGCCTCTGATTAACTCTGAACTTGCTACCTGCTGTTCATCTGCTGCTCCCTTCACTGTACAACTCTCTGAACTATCTTGCTTCTGAGAGGTCTTTCATTTCCTCCATAGAAGTTATTCTGTAAGCCCCTAAAAATCAGAGGTAAATATGGATAATAACTCACTCCATCAAATCTCACAGCACTTACTTTACCATATAGTCCTTATTTCACTGTGCACTCTGAATAAATGTAAGATAATTCCTGGCTCATTCATGGAGCACAATGATTAAGCCCATCCTCTAGGGTCAGAAAAAAAAAAATCAGACCCTGACCAACAAAGGTTGCCTCATGAAAAATAAAAACCCTTGCAAATAAAGAACTCTGTTGAGACATACATTTGCAATGCCAACTAATGTAAGTTTATTGAGAAATATACAGTGAGACAAGCTCCCTTTTTCAGAGATACAAAAGCAGAAGCCAGGAAAAACAGCAGCAAGGTCAAGACACGTCAAAAAGCATCAGGACTGGGCTGTGGGTGGTAAAGCCTCTGGTAACATGGAGAGGCTTACACAGCACCAGGGATCAACCCTTAAAATTATCTTAGTGCTGGCAAGAAAAATTTTAGAGTGCCAAAGGCAGCTTGTGCACGGCTAGCAGCCAGCAATCAGGCAGTCCATAGGGGTCAGCAATGAAGAGATTCGAGCAGCATGCTGGAAGATCCTGGAAACACAGCAGGCAGGACCTGGAGTCTTGATTCACTCACTGGCTACACACCTAGCAAGTTCTTCGGCAGGTGGACACGCAGGATTGCTGGTATGTCCTGGAGATCCCACAGGCTGGTTGGTAGATAGTAGATATTCCTCCCACTGGCTGGCAGACAGCAGAGATGCCGCCCACTGGTTGGCAGGTGCTGGAAATGCCTCCCAGGGACTGACAGCCACTGGAGACAAAGGTGAGTGGCCGGCTGCAGGGAGTTGAGCAGGGATTGGAGACACAGGTAGTTTGTCGAGAGCAAGTTACCTGGGCAGGACTGGAGATGCAAGATGTTCTCTGGTAACACGTTGGCTGGCAAACAGTGGGCTCGCAGCAGGCCTCCTGACAGTGGTCCAGGAGCCAAGAGCTAGTTTGGAAGGAACTGGGCAAATAGATGCCACTCAGGCAGTCGGCATCACGAGTGGAAGCAGTGGTAACTGGGGCCATGGGGACAGTGCATCGTCCTCCAATTGGTCTGGAAGAACAATTTCTTGTGGAGCAGTTGAAGGACATGATGCCAGGTAGAGAGCTACAGGTGTCTTGCTGAAGTTAGCTCCTGAATTGTGAATGTCCCTTTGTGCTTCTGAGCTTTTATATATCCCTACTAGTGGGTGGGGCTCCCTCCCTGGTCTCCCTGGCTTCTTTGGCTCACACCAGCTTGCCTTAGAACATCTTGAGAATCTACAGGTTAATTGTCTCTCGAGAAGCCTTCCCCCTCGTAAAGAAAGTTTAGTAGTTTGGTAACTACATCATAAGTGTTCTGCACTGTACTTAGTCCAGATTAAGAAGGCTGATGGACAGCTTCAAAGCTATTGGTCATCCCTGCCCACATTTCGTCCCTCATTCATCTTGCTTCCATCCAGTGAGTGTCAACCTGTCTGCAACACCAAACATGCCGCTGTCCTGCCATCACACACTCTCTCCCTTCGGACCAGGACTGATCATAAGCCCACACCCTGTTTGGGTTGTCATTGACACTTAATATGTTTTAAACATAACTTAATCAGTCACTCTTCCACAGCTAACGGAGCTTTTAATAGGGAAGGTGCCTCTTTGAATCTGCTTCAAGGTAATAATGGCAAGACCTACCAAGAAATCACAACATAAAGACTTGTACACAAAGTAGAATCTGGATCTGAAAATTAATCAGCCGGCCAAAGTGAGAAACCCACAAGAAGGTTAGAAGGCAGTGTAACCCACCCTTCACATTTGAGCAGTGAGGCAAATTATATGCCAATTAACTACAAGCACATTTGTAGCCAAGAACCTTTGTAAATAAATTGGATAAGCTTTATTCCTAAAATTTTTAATCTACTAACAATGGATAACAGTGATTCATGGCCCCCATTAATATGCCAGAGAGACAGGCTTAGTTAATTTTTAAATTATTATAATGTTAATTTGAAAGAGTATAGTGTCTTTCTCCCAATTTGCTCAGTATATTCAAAACGTATTTATTTTCACACAAGTACTTATAGATAGGATGCATTTTAATCATGGACAAACTAAAGACTGTCCAAGGTCATTGTCTCTATCACAGATAAGGGTAGGCAAGAGTGGGAAGGAACAGACACTTAATCAGTGCTTGGTAATGAACGCATACGTGAAGAGTTTTCTATAATATCTAATTATTCCTTTTATGCTTGGACAAACTATAAGAATATTATTCTCCTTTGTGTCATCTCACTACAATACAGTCAGCTCTGAACACAAAAATTACTGCTCCTTTTGGTCCACCTATAAGCAGGTGAACCAACTGCTTTGACCATGGCAAAATAAATCACTTCAACATAGCTTGAGTGGTCAGTGACATTTCTACCTCAAAACAGCTGTAAGATCTGACTCATTTTGTAAACTGGCTTACATGGGGTACAATAATGGATTTGCATATATTTGAGGGTTACAGGTAGGCTATGTTTTAAATATCCACAAAGCAAACAGTTTAATGTCGGAGCTCATCAGAAGGCCCCTTGAAAAAGCATCATTCATCTAATTGGAGGCTGATGACGCACTCAAACATGAGGATGCTGTGCTTCAGGCTATGTTAGAATTCCCAGGACAGCCCTCAGTGACTCCAAAAGTGTTCTCAGGAACAGGGTGAAATTAACGAGATGACTACTTTCCACCATGTTGTGACTACGTTCTTCCCACCACTAAGAATGTCCCAGTTGGTGTTTGAAGGTCAAAGTGCCTGGTCACAGGGCCTGGCTTGCTTGCTTTAAAATGGATGAGTAGTTTACAGGCTTCTACCAGCTGAGGATTTGCAGGCTATGATGGAAGAGAATTCAATAATGCAAATGTCAAAGTGGAGTCAGTAGTAGAGTTACACAGCAGAATCTTTGGTACCCATAGCAGACATTCGTGAGTCATTACTCTGTCCAAGTTCATCTTTCCCACTGAAAGTTGGAAATCACAAATAAAGGGGTCCTAGAAGATACCTTCCATCAGTTTCAGGAGGAAAGGAGATGAATGGTTTTTGAGCACAGGACTCCTGTCCAGGTACTGAGGCTTTATGTAGCCCGAGTCCTTCCAGCATCTCTACAGAGGAGGTATCATGTTTTATGGAAGAGATCAAGTTGGGGAGGTGGAATGGCATTTAAGTCATGCAGTTTACATTTGACTAAGTTAAGATTCAAATAAAACAAAGTCCTTGAGCTTCCAACTCACTATAGCACTATTTAAACATGCCCTGATGCCTTCATTAAAGTATGAGCAAGAATTTATTTTTAAAAGAATCAATCAATGTTTCATCGATGCCATTGTAAAGCTATAGTCTTCATCTCTTTTTCCAAGTTTACCGATTGATTACCAACAAAAGTAAAATAGTAAGCACTTCTGTCTTTATACTTCTTAGGTTTTTATTTTCATTTTATATGCAATTTAACAATGTTTACTTTATTAGAATAAAAACAAGGTTACAAAGCAAGAAGAACAGAGAACTCTCAATAGCTTGAAACTATAATCTGGATTTATAATTATTTATAACGACTATGTATGTAGCAAGTTTTCAGAAAATAGCCAAGTAGTGAATTGATTTTTTTCAGTCCTATCCATTTTCCACAGAACCTCCAAAAGAAACTATTGATTTGGTTGACATTGTGACTAAAAGAAGACTACTGAGATCTTACATTAAAATGATTTCAGAGTTTGCAAATCATGTTTTTTGGAAAGGTCTTGCTACTAAGCCTGAAAAATCAATTCACCTCTGTTCATCTCTGAAACACTGTCGAGGGTAGAGTCACGAAAACTACTTAATACTTACAAAACTTGCATGCATTTTTCTTTTCAGATGCAAGAATTTAGACTTTATTTGAACTCACTGTGCATTGTAAAAGTAAAGAAAATTTTGGGGAAGAAGTGCTTCCCCAAAAGTTTCATGTGCTGAAGGCTTGGTCTCCAGTGCAATGTTCAAAGGTGGGGCTTTTGGGAAGTGATTAGATCACAAAGACTCTGATCTAATCAATGAATTAAGACACTGATGGATTTATAATTGAATGGACCTACCTACAATAGGGTTATTTAAACATTAAACATTAAGGTGTAAGGCAAGATTTTATTTTTAAAAGAATCAATCAGTGTTTCCTTGATGACATTGTAAAGGTTATAGTGTTCATCTCTTTGGGAAGCGGTGAAAACAGTGGAAAATGGGGCCTGGTTGAAGGAAGTGGGTCATTGGAGATGTGCCCTTGAAGGGCTGTCTCATCCACAGCCACCTCCTCTTCCTGTCACTCTCTGCTCCTCGGCTTCCATGACATAAGCAGCCTGTTCCTCCATGCATTCCTGAGCCATGTTATTCTGCCTCCTCACAGGCCTGACACCAATGGAGCCAGCCCACCATAGCCTGAAACTTCTGAAACCATGAGCCAAAATAAATCTATCCTCAATTAAGTTGTTTTTCAGCTATTTGGTCATAAGGAAGAAAAAGTAACATATCTACTGAAAATCATATGAAGTCTGAAGCAACTCTTTACAATTCAAAATCGACAATGTTGTTAAATGAAATTAATAAATCATCCTTCCATTGGAATTAAAAGAAAATTTTATGTAGCCAACCACTGCTTTCATTACATAGTTATGTGTGATATGAAACTCAACTCAGCAAAAAGACTCATGAAGATTATTCTTTGTCTGCAGAGCATGAATTGAGGGGAAAGTGTGATGAAAAAAGATGAGGAGAGATCAGATCACTGGTGGGTAATTTGCTCACATTCGTATAGAACAATCTAAGTCTTATACAATAATTAGCACAGGCAGGAAATGAGCGATTCTTTCACTCAAAACTGAATCATAGCAATCACTTGCAAGGCCAAGCATTTGGAAATAAAATGAGTTAAGCAGGTGTGTGAGGCTGAAGGTTTGATATACAGGGAGGATATTTTTCATCATAAAGTTGGCAATAATATTGACTAACACCAGTTCAGAGAAAACTGTTTAGGCTCATCAAATGGAGAAATAGCAAACTTATAGAAGATTTAAGAAATAATAAAATGAGATTTGGTTGCTCTGTACTTTTTCAGAAGGCTCATACTCTCAAATTGATGCTGCTCATTATCTCTTGAGAAATAGAAAAAGAAAATTCAAAATTTTAAGTACAGACATAATGGTAGTCACAAAAACTACTTCTTGCCTGAGTTGCTCTGTTTTTTTTTTTTAATTTCCTGCAGACTGTAGGTTGAATCCTCAGAATCCTTATTAACCAAGGCATTATAAATCCCTGAAACTTTTAGTGCTTTATACCACAAAAGTAATCTGAAATTCATTTCCAAATTCTTTTCAAAAAGCACCAATCATAAGAATAGTTGAATCACTTGGGCTGAGGGAACTACAGGGCAGAAAGCAGAAGGTGAAAGAAGCAAGAAAAGACTAGCAAAACCGTTGCTGCTTTTAGAACTTTAAAATAGCAATTACCAGAAACATGACTTCTGTAAAAAATAAACTCTCAGAGGATAGTGTCAAGGCTGGGAAATCTTAAATTGAACCATTCTTTCTCTCCATGCTTGTTTTCAAATTTGTGTAGTTTTTCATGTGTGCCTTTATTCCAGATCAAAAGCAAAATATCGAAAAATTTGTGGGTTTAGAGTGAACTACATTGAGACAGCTAACATTTCTTTTGGCTAACACTATTGTTTTTGCTCTTTAAAAAACATTCCTACTATAATACAGGTCATACATGCATAGTACTACCAAGATAATAAAATAATATCTGTGCAGCCAATATCAAAATTTGAATATTTTGCCATAATTGTTTAATAGGTTTAAAGTTATAAATCACAGCAGAAGTACTCAAAGTCCAGAATTTTCCCCCAATGATGCCTTCCCATCGTTAATTATACTCGATTTTGTGTTTCTCACTTGTAGGATATTTTTAAGCTACTCTTACATGTCTGAAATTATTTCACATATTTTATTTTTTTTTAATTTTTATTGTTTTATTATTCATATGTGCATACAATGCTTGGGTCATTTCTCCCCCCTGCCCCCACCCCCTCCCTTACCACCCACTCCACCCCCTCCCTCGCCCCCCCACCCCCTCAATAC